TATTTTTTTCCCCTAATCTTCCAATATAGATTTATTCGTGCGACAATATTTGTAGGCCTCTTCATATGTACTTTTATTCAGAAACATAACCTATTTGACCTTGTCTTGCAAGGGTGGTAATTGCCTCAAATTTTACTCTAATCGATTCTTATTACTACAAATATTATTATAGAATTTTATACGATACTTTATCTTTAAATTTGAATGAAAAGTTGAAAGAAAAGGGTGGGTGCCTTTGCTATCCACCCAAAAGGAAAGTTGCATCACTCCATAAAATTTAAATGAAAAATGTAACTCTTAACTATGACGAGATGAATGTATTATTGTAATATATAATATAACAAATAGTAATAAGGTACTGGATCTTACTACTCTCCAACTCGGAAATTGATGTCATATATGGCGTATACCTTGTGGTATAGACCCTTATACTTCAGTTAACTCTTGCAACTGTCGGTTTGGTCGCGAACGAAAATTAATTTTTAGATATGTGATAATTTAATTTGTCACATAAGGCACATTCTGGTAGTGATGGGAGCATGTTCCGTACATTCAGTTCTATCGCAGACAGGATCTATTACTTTGTTTAATTGTTTCTGAAGCTTTTGTATTATATTTTGTTTGAAAAATAAGTTTATCTGCCGAAGAGTGTGGAACTAATCGTGTGATTGCCGCAGATAGGCCTTCTGGTAAAAAAAAAAGATTTCAAGAACGAAGGAAGTGTAAAATATGACACGAGTGTACAAATTTGATTTGGGCTGCGGTGGGCGGCGAAGAATTTCATAATTGCTTGGAAATCTTTTTCATTAAGGAATTCAAGCGTAAGCATAGGAAATACCTTGTTGTTAATAAACGTGCTTTGCGTACTTTATCATATCAACTTCATGATATTGTTTTGGTGTTTTTACAAATACTCCCAAGGTGCAAAGATTGTTGCAGGTTTGCTTAACGTGTAAGAGTTAGATAGATTTATCAATCCTGACGAAGCCGTTGTTTGCGGCGATGCTGTACAGGCTATAATGGTAACCAACGAAGTGCAAGACCTTTTGTTGTTCGATATCCCCGTTATCCTTGGGTATTGATGTGCTGGTCCTGCCATCGAAGAAGTCGATTAAACAATCGAAAACTTTATTTACCAAATAATAACAGCAACAGGTCTCCATTTGGTAAATTTCATTTAGACAAAAAAGTTGGTAATGGGTTTTTTTACTTTAATTTTAAAAACAACTGACGTTTGGCCACACATGTTAGTTATGCTAACATTTGAGATAATTCCAAGCGTAATTAAATAAACGAAAAGCGGAAAAAATCGGTGACTTTTGCGTTAATCGGAAAATTGTTTAAAAGCACGTTGGTAGCACATTGGTGATTAGTTGGCGACGAATGCTATCAATTGCTCGGTCACTACTGCTATCGAAAATCTCATCAAAATTTATTGTTACGATGTTTTCTTTCTCTATTAATTTTGCTACCATTTTTCTCTTAGTTGTTTGTGGTAATTTTAATTCATTACTTTTTTACGGATTTGGTAAATGAAACTCTAAAGACATTCTCATATCATAACATTTATGAGTGCATGTATATCTGTGCATTTCCCTGTCTCGGTGTAGCTACTTTTAGTTTTGGATTTGTTTTCACTGTTTTTCTTTTCAGAAAAAAATAATTTATCTTTATTGCCAGTGTATGCCTCAGTGGCTGTGTAAATACCTGGTAGGTGTAGTGTTTTGTTTTCAAATTATTTATGCACGCGATAAGCCGGTTCGGCTCGTCGGATTGGAGTGGGTGTAGAAGTCTAATTTGAAACAAACATCCGGTCCACACAAAAACTAATCATTTTATTTGCGTGTACTTCCAAACTTTGTATTTTAAATTTTTTTAAGAAAAAAAGTCGATCTAAACAGTTGTCCCAGTCCATCCCTATGCCTAGTCAACCCTAATGCCTTCTTCCGGAAATCCTACCACAACTTTAACCCTTCATTGTGTTTTTTTTTATTTAAAGAAAGAAAGCACATTCATAATTTCAGTTAAATAGTTTATTTATGAATTACATTAAAGCTTTAAGAAAATAATTACAAATGAAGTTATTTAATTTAAAAAGGCTCTAGTTTAATTTGATTTTTTTTCTCCTTTTTGTTAAATTTAATTGGTGTTAATTTAATCAAATCTATAAAATATCTAGTCGATGATAACGAAACAATACGCGGATAAATATTTGAAATTTGTTAGTAAATTGAAGTAACTAACATAATAACAATCATTTAGCACAATGAAAAATAATAAAATTTACTATTAAATGTGTCTGTTTCAAAAAATTTAAATTCCATTGGCTTACCCGGAGTAATGCCCCGTCGAATGCGCGTTCCCAAAGTCTCACTGAATATAAATTAAACAATTTTTAAAGAGTATAACCATAATTATTTGAAAAAAAGAAATATATAATGTTAGAAACTTTTGACAAATATTTTTTTTTGGATAGTCTGGGTTCATAGGTCATGTGATGGTTATATGAAAAAAACTGCGCCGTCGTAGAAGAAGACCATATTTAGTCTCAACGATAACAGAATACTGATTTTTGACCCCACGGTATTGAATGAATGACAAGTGAAAAATTTGGTGGACGGAATTTTTTATGCCACCGACAATCGTACATGAATTAAAACTCGGCAAATTGTTAACAAATCAAAAACTTTTTTTTTTTGTATTATCCGTATTAGGCCTTCTCCGAAGTTTTTGTCACCCAAACAAATTTCGTATTAAATGCCCTTGCAATGTCCGCTTATCTTATAATATTTCATCTCTTGTGTAACACGGAACTTTTAAATATGTTTCCAATTTTTTATGCTTTTTTTATTCTGTCTGGTAAAACGTCTTTCGATTTCCTCCTTTGAATTTCTTCCATATAGACTTTCACTAACTTCACTTTGTTACAGCACAAATTTTGTATTTATCTCAGTTTTGCAAATTTATTGTTTTTTCTTTTGAAACGGCTTCCAGTTATCTCAGAATAATCGTCCAATTTTTATTCAAAAAAATTAAACTTTCTTTTATTATTATTTTTTCTTTTTTCAAAAGCCAAACAGCAACTTTCCTTTTTTGTCTCTCCCAGCCTCTTCTTTGATAACGCCCTTCCTCCTATGATCCAAAAAAAATACTAGTTTCAAGCTAGCTGTTCCAACCGTTCTTGCTTTCTACGTTTATACTTCCCCGAATGAACAAAGAATTCTATTGCTCGATTAAACCTTATAACTCAACTTTGTTGATTTTTAATAGAAATATTTTAACAAGAGACATCTTTCACGGATAGAATTTACTTCACCTAACCCAAATGCTAACCGGGACAATACCCTAGAAAAAGCTAATGGATATGCTTCTTATAATAACTTGTATTAGAATTCTATGAACCTGTGACTAATCATATAGGCTAACGTATTAAAATAGACAAACCGATGTTATGGAGGTTAAATGATCAAACTTTATGTATTTCTCGGCCCATCGCTTATCGTTGACAGTCTATTCGGTCAGTCAACCAAAGCAATTAAGCCTAAATGGCGCACTTGCAGATGATCGCAGATTACTCCTATCTTTTGGTAACGTTATTCTCCCTCATATTTCATACCAAAGCCTCTCCAAATAGCGTTATTCGGATCTGATCAACTAACAAAACCTTTAACCGATATTGACTCCCAAACAAAGTAGGTCTGTGGAGTTGGTTTTTTCATATATTGAAGGCAATTTGTCAAAAATTTGAAGTACATTCGTGTTCACAGAATTATAGCCAACGAAATACTTTTCAAGCATCTGCAGTAACTATGGATTTCACGAAACATAATCTACTCAAAGAAGTTATTCGTATATCTACTATAACAAGCTTGAAACAACCTCACAAGCAAAAAATGCCTGTATCCCTACGAAAGAAGAATTTTAATCAAACACTAGCAATCAAAAAGCGCCGGAAAACTTATTCTAACAGACAACAATATAAACGAATGTCTGGACTCCGCCTCTTTGATAGATATTTTCTTTGAAGCAAAAACCGATTTAGTCTTTTCTACAAACCGAATTTATCACATGCTAGGGTCCAGGGGCGTATGGATGCACATGCTATGGTTTCAAAATAACTAAGAGACGCGCATCTCTTTAAATTAACTCTATTTAACAAAACAAATGGACTTATTTTCGATAGCAAGGCCTCTTGTAGGGGTTACCTTGATGTGTGATTCGCTGAACGGAAAAAGAATTAATACTATTTTATTTGTAAAAATCAATTTTACAATAAAAATATGTAATTGTGTATTTGAACGTTTATTTGAGAAAGAAATATATATTTTAAATATTATTCACCGAAAGCCAATTAACCGAAGGGGACGATATATATTAAATGCCATGTGGACAACGGCAACCCAGTTAATATATATTGCCTTTCAGTGAATGATATTCGAAACATATGCTTCTTTCTCAAACAAACGATCAAACACTCGATGAATCCTCACTGTGAGCAAGAACGTACTCCAAAGCCTCTGCAAATTTCGTTCAATATATGAAAAAAATAACTGCGGACATAAAAAGTATAGACGCAGTTTTTCTGGAGTCATTTCCATGTTCCGTTAATTTGTCACGTTGGAAATATGTCAGCTGACGTACTTCGAATATGGCAAATCTCATTCCAGTCCTGATTGCACGTATAAAGTAACTCTCTGCTTGCGATTCTTAACTAATAATATATATATTCACTCGTTTACAATCAACACTTGTAACAACCCGACATTTAGTAAACGGAAGCTACAAAATTTTCTCTGACGTGTCTTTTTTTTTTTTGGAATAAAATATATTCATCGAAACGATGCCTATATACATATACGTATACGCAATAGACAAGCAACTTGTTTTACACTACACAGATATAGCCACTAGATATTTTTCTAAGAAGCAAATTAAGTACAATTCATTACATTGCATTGATTTGGTACGAAACAACAAAGCTTTTTTGTATAGTAATCTTTTCAACGTACTAAGTTTGGATCTGCCGGCTTACGGCAATCCGAGGGTACGCAGCACTGCATATTCTTCTCAATTCCTTTCGCCATTTCAAGGTTGCGCCAATAATCTATACCAATGGATAGTATTATTTCCAAATATTCCAAAAACGGTTCATAAGTAACGTACTGCAGATGAGGGCATTCAAGACGATGATGATACTTGCATTCCTTATCAAAGACCCATTGGCGTTGCATAGGGGTTAAGAGTTCTAAAAATAGAAGAACATCCTCACGTTTTTCTCCGTAATAGAATTGAATAGCGGTATATGTTATGCTGTCATTGATCATGTTTCTAACTTCAGCATTGTTTACAATATGTTCGATTTCCGGGCATTCACTATTTTTCGTTAACGTTACTAAGAACCATGGTGGCATTAGACTAAATCGTACGCATCTAAGAAGATCTAACATATGACATTTTCTCTCCTCCCTATTATGACTTAACCAATTTACAACAGACATGAAAATCTCAGTTTCAGAATTGACTCCAATTGTGTTCGATGACAGCAAAACGCACACTTCTCTAGCTGATAATATTAAAAATTCTTTAGAAGCGACCAAAGTCAAAAAGAATTTGCATATGCGCATCAACATCAATTGCTCTAAGCTTTCTAAACAATATTTACGTGCCTCCAAATACAGTAGGAAGGCAGTGTCCTCACGAAAACGTACACGATCATCCAAACACAGCCAACATTGGTTGATTAGCTCTTTGATATGATTGATAAAACTGTATACAAATTACAAAAGTAAATCGGAAGCATTGTGTATTTAATTTATAAAAAATTAACGTATATCAAATCGATGTTTCTGTTTAGTATTGAGTTATTATAGCGATTTTGCCGAAGTTTTTATTTCACTTGAGCGCTTATAAATGAACTCGATCAATACAATTGAACGATACATATTTATTTATTTATTTTAATTCTACTTATACATGTGTGTTAATAAAAAAAAAAAAAATAATGAGGGAAAAAAGGATAGAATTTTCTGAAAATAAACTTAAAAAAAACAATAATAACTGATATAAGTCTTTAGGGAATTTATTTTCGTGAGGAAACTATTTTTTTGTTTACAATTTTGTAAACTCCTTTTTAAAAATATATACATTAAATAGTTTTTCGTCCGGTTTTTGGCAAATGTTCCCCGGGGACAAAACAATATCAAGCTGCTTCCCTATGGAGACAGCTTATGGTCCGATTTTTCCAGATAGAGGTGCATTTGAAAACTGGCGTCAATTTGGATCTTTTTTTATGGTTATCTCAAATGTTTCAATATTAACCGTGTAAAAGAACTAAAGACGTTTAGTAAGGGTATAGCCAAATTACAGTACAGCTCTGTTCTCAGTGCGAACAAGTTCAATAAAAATAATATAAAATTTTAGCAAGAAAAACTTGACAACGTACATTCCGCGGGCTTTCACGGAAAGATTTGGAATCATTCGTAACATACCCATCGAATCGGATTATCCAAAAGGCTCTGTTTGAAAGGCTGCTACGAAGAAGGAATCCCGTTGTAACAGGCGTTATTTATAGCTGGGGTTTCGGTGAGGGCTGTCCAACGGTCCGTTCGGAGAAAATTTGTTCGTTGGCATAACGAAACCTTCGTATTTTGGTGTTAGGTCAAATATATATTTATGAAATCCAAGAAGCATACAGGATGGCTTTATTTGCGACGTAACTTCGTGGTAAAAGAAAAGAACCAACACGCATTGAGTGGGCAGGATTGCTTTTTCTTTACCGAGGAAATATAACTCGCGTACGACTGTGTTGCGAAAATGAAACTGTTAAGTGTATGCTCTGCTAATTAATCTTTTTAGTGGTTCAGCAGGCAGGCTACCGGGTCCATAAAGTGTACTTTCGAGCCGGGGGGGCTCTGAGATAATGATGCAAGCGCACATTGTTATCTTAAGGACCTCGTTCCGGACGGACTATGTGCTAATTACTGGTCAACTACAAAGCTGGGGCGTCCTTTTGGGCCGAGACTCTATAAGACAATGATGCAAACGCAAGAACCCCGACCGGACGGACGATACTTAATTCCCAAGCACCGGTTATCTACCAAGCTAGGGCATCCTTGCGGCCCGAGAGTCTATAAGATAATGATGCAAGCGCACACTG